AAGAAAGTGTTTTAGGTCCTTAGAAACTTATTTATGACTTCGATAAGTGGTTTATGATAACAAATGATAAATAAATATATAGGTAAAAGTAGTTCTTACAAGAAGACCTTATGGCTCCCAGAAGGGCAGTCAAGGCAATTCTTCTGTAGAGGTAGCAGAGTAAGCAACAACTGTTTCAAGGAAGGCCAGAAAACAAAGGTTAAGTTCAATAGTATATCAGGTCTGAAATCCAAAGAGATGCCAATGCAAAAATCCAAAACAAGGCTTGGGAATCATTAATAGAAAAGAAACAGTAAGAATGACAATACCAGGCTTAAACCTGACATCTGATTGCTTTTAAAGAGTGGTTTTAAAACATATTTCATTGATGAAAAATAACCTTCAAATGAAATCTTACTCAAAAAGGCAACATATAAAACACATGAAAACAGAACTGTTGGCTGATGTATATTTCTTGTTTGTTTTGTTTCTGAAAGGAGGAAAAGTCAGTTTTTTCTAACTTTCCAACTGTGAATGCCCTTGTCTATTGTTGGAACGAAATCAAAGGCCTTTGCAGTATACTTCTTACAATAAAATTGTTTTCCTGTTTGAGAGGTTTGAAATAATCAAGTAGCCCATTCCAAACTTCTTTTTTAAAAGTCATTTGTTTCTATCACATAATTCAATTGCAAGAATAATGCAATATAATTAGATCACAACAGTTATTTGGGTAGGGAAGATGAAAAGAGGATTTTCTAATTCATAGGGAAGAGGAAAATATTTGAGGTCAACTGAGGACTTATTGAAGACAACTATAAAGGAGTGACTTGCCCTTTTATATATCAAGACATAATAGAAATTTATAGAAGCTGAAATCGTACAGTATTTTAAAAATGATTATCCTGTTCATATAAGGTCAAAAGAAAGAGAGAGAAGGAGAAGAAAGAAAAAGGTAGGAAAATGGACTAATACTTCATGCTATGAACAAAACAATTTCTTGATTAAATTGTTAAATATATAAATAGCTACAACCTGTTAGAATAAAGTCATAAAATATGTAGTTTCTTATGGATATGAAAAAAAAATTGCTAAAGTAGGTATAAAATTCAAATGTCAAAAGTGAAAAGATTAAAATGGTTTATCATTTAAAAACTAAATCATCAGCCATAAAGAAAAATGAAACTATGTCATTTTCAGGAAAATGGATGAACTGGAGATCATAATGCTATTCAAGATAAGTCAAGTTCAAAAGGTCAAATATCCCATGTTTTTATTCATTGTGGAACCAAGACCTAAAATGATGATAGTTGTGATCATAATAATAATGACAATAGGGTATGAATGTATATAGGGGCCTCTCTGGGGAGAATCAGTGGGAAGGGGAAGGGAAAGAGAAGGGGACATTAAGGGGTGAAGAGAATAGAAATACTCTACAAATGAAGACAGCATAATGAAGCCTATGAAACACTGAAAGAGGAGGAAAAGGGAAGGGGGAATCAGACTATAATAAAGGGGATGAACTTGTTCAATGTAAACTGTATGCATGTATGGAATTATCAAAAAGAAATTCCTTCATATTATTAATGTATGGTACATCAAAAATAAAATAAGATGTTAAATTTAAAAAATAAATCTTAAATAAAAGTAACATAATAACATTAAACAACATACCCTGGAATCAAAATTTGCAACATATGTATCAGCAATGGAATTTATTAATGTAGTGTATGAAAGTCCATACAAATCTATAGGAGGATAAACAGCAAACTAGGAGATGATATGAGCCACCAATAAACAAATATGTACAAATGATTGATAATTGTGTGAGAAAATTTCAAATTGACTAGTGATTAAACAATGCAAATTTAAACTACAATAATCTCTTTTCTCAAACATAAGACACTATACGCATACATGTGTATGTAAATATATACACATACATATGTATAACATAAATTTAACTCAAAATGATTCTATGATTTAAGTATGGATTATAGCTATAATTTCTACAACACAGATAATAAAACAGAGGCATAGAGATCAGAGATGTTAAGGAACTTTTCCTTGGTGGAGTCAGGGTTATGTCCAGGCAGCCTATTTCCAATGTCATGCTCCTAACTACTTCGCTGTGTTGATCAGACAGATCAGTTACCTCAAGCAATTATCTATCTCCAAACAACATATTTGGAAAAAAATTAAAAGACCAAAAATCATATGTTCTCTCTCATATGAGGACATTAGATCAAGGGCAAACACAACAAGGGGATTGGACTATGAGCACATGATAAAAGCGAGAGCACACAGGAAGGGGTGAGGATAGGTAAGACACCTAAAAAACTAGCTAGCATTTGTTGCCCTTAACGCAGAGAAACTAAAGCAGATACCTTAAAAGCAACTGAGGCCAATAGGAAAGGGGACCAGGAACTAGAGAAAAGGTTAGATCAAAAAGAATTAACCTAGAAGGTAACACACGCACAGGAAATCAATGTGAGTCAATGCCCTGTATAGCTATCCTTATCTCAACCAGGAACACTTGTTTCTTCCTATTATTGCTTATACTCTCTCTACAACAAAATTAGAGATAAGGGCAAAATAGTTTCTGCTGGGTATTGAGGGGGGGAGAGGGAGGGGGTGGAGTGGGTGGTAAGGGAGGGGGTGGGGGTAGGGGGGAGAAATGACCCAAGCCTTGTATGCACATATGAATAAAAAAAAAAGTCCAGGAAAAAATGCCTCAGAAATTCTGGAAATGGAAAATCTTTATGATTCTTGTTGCTACAGGAAAAGGCAGCAGATTAAGAAACGTGGAGATACAGGCATAAGAAACTTCTCTCTTTCATTGTGTTTCCAACCATCATCATGCTCAGATTAGACAAGTAAGAAAAATCATTCCAAAAACCTCATCCTCAGAACCAGCTACCAATAACATGTGCTTTAGACTTTGGCCATGATGCCAAGCCCCAGCTGTTCCATCAGTTTCTTTTTTACAGTTTGTTGACAAAGAAGAGATCTATTTAATTTTTCAAACATGTAATATATGCTGAAACTGATTCAACTGAAAATACTAGAATTACTTCTAGGAATAACAAAAAACCTCAATGATACTGAGGTAACATATTTTCTTAAAAATCAGAATACATTGAAATAGTTTCAAAAATGGAAATGCTAAGGAAAAAAAATACTGGTCTACTCCTTTGTATCAGAATTTGCACAGACTGACTGGAAATCAAAGATTGTATTCTTGATTCTGAATATTGAAAGGGAAGACATACAGAGAAAATTATATATCTCTAATATTAAAAGGAAGTAAGAATGTGGATAAAGTGGCAGAGGAACTCGGGATAAGTTGGAGAGATAAGAAGTTGCATTTATAAGTAAAATCAGGAATTCAGAAGATGAAGTCTTGTTATAATAATGGGCATATCAGTGAGCCTTCTTCCCTCAAAAACTAACACTCATAAAGAAACTGGCAGCTTTGATTTGGACCTACCTGTTTTGTTTTTGATTCTGAATTTTTATTCTGTATCTTCAATTTTAAAAATTCAAATTCTAGTAACAATGAATTTCTTTAAGCTAATATTTGAGTTAATTATATAATTTTTCTTAATTTTAATAAAGGTTATTTTCAGTGGATTCAATTGTTTCTGTAGGAATTTTTAAAATGCTTAACATGTCAGTTCATTTGTATCAAATCTTAACAATTATCATTTCCAATCATGTATTTTTTTTGCAGTCATTTTTTTCTGCCAAGTTTATTTATCCTGGGTTAAGTTTTATACAACTTAGTTTTATTAAAACAAGTTTATTATTTAATTCATTTTAAAAGAAAATATCATTTGCATGTTTAGCCTTTGTGAGTTGTATTTTTCTCAGTCATTTATATAATTGTTTTATGTCAATTTTCTATTTTCTATTTTGCCAGAGGGTCAATTTTACAAAACATAACCATTTCAATTTTAGACATGTGTTATCTATCTACCTATCTTTCTATCTAATGCTTCATTTTATGAAGTATCACATGCTTACATTTATTTGTTCTTCAGGATCCATATGGTAAGGTCAAAAGCCTTAACTGTTAGGATTTTAAGATGGCAAAAGCACAGGGCAAAGTTAAAAAGGTGAATTCAAAAAATCCCTACAGTACTCTTAATTTTTCCCTCTATAGCTGTTACTTGGATTTATTTTTCCTAACACAAGTACTTAAAATATGTACCTTTACTTAATGAGACTGTTTTTGTTGCCATAGTTGATTGTCAGTGTGAATTTGGAACTACTCAGGCTAAATGTATTACAGTAAGAATTGTCAGTTAATGAGTTACAAGATGTTGGATGTTTTGTATCCAAATTAGATTTTTGTACACAATATATAACCTGAATAGATTACCTTATATGTAACCCCTTCTTTTGCTACTACAAATTTTTTCTTTGCATATTTTTTGTAATTTCTGTGCTTTTTGAGGGTCTTAATTTTTGGTCCCACTATTAAATTAGCATAAGAAAACTCTTGCTGATGACTCTGAAAGCCTGACTAACTATAACACCTACAAATATTTGCTTTTAATTTTTTTCTGTGGATATAATGACTGGGAATAAAGAAGGTTCATGTGACCTCATGCATCACATTCTTCAGAACAAATGCCTCTTTGGCTGTAATTACGTCATCATGAAATCATGTTCCACATTCTAAAATAAACTCATTGCCATGTGAATTGTTATCTTACTGAGTTATTTTTGTAGTTGTCTTTTTAACAGCTTCCTTGGAAGTGTCTTCTAAATTCCTCACAATATGAAACCAGAAATTTCTTGTTTTTATCTTATGCACATGAATATTTGCTTGAATGTTCAGAAATTCCCTTTTTTCCTTATTGCACACAGTAGTACTTGAGTTGTAATCTCTCTCAAGTACACACACAGACACATACACATAGAGTTTTACATAAATCTTCTAAGTTATACACTTTTTTGTTTTTTACCTTCAAGAAAAGTAAAAGAGAGTTTCCCCAATGTCACAGTTCGGGACTCACCTGTGGACGTGGGTGTCCAGTAACCAGGCAGGTCAATTCTAGGGTTTCTCCTTCCCGAATAGTGTAGACCCTTTCAGAGTAGCGCTCTTCTTCAATATTACAGGCCACGCCTGAGTGCACGATACGCACTGTGGGGGGAGCTGTCGAGTTAGGAAGAAAAGAGACAAGATACATGAAAAGCTAAGTACATTGTCTTTCCATGGGCCATCTTGATTGCAAAAGCAATTCTTATTAGACTTTATCAAAGTCAGTTCCATCAGTCTTAACGCTGTGAGCTTCCCCAAGCGATTAAACATTTTGTCAACAGAAAGCTTCAAATTTATTCAACAGTCACCAAAACATTCTGAAAATGGCAAAGGGGAACAGAGTGGTGGGAGAAAATCAGTGCCTCTGGAAATCACTATCATTACAAGACCACTGTTTTGACTATTGACTATTAAAATGTAATATACAAATTTCCTCCTTTCTGAAATTTAATTTTTAACATACTAAAGATTATTATACCAAAAACAGGTAGGTCAAAACAAAGAAGACATTAGAAGGGAAAAAAGAATTTGAATTGAAGACAGTGGTATTCATTCAGTAATTATAAAGTCCATTGTGCAAGCTACTAGCTAACCTAAGCATTCTCAGGAATCCAACACTAACTTAGTTTATAATATGTTTAGACTTCTGTATTGATATGAATAAAAGATAACCATTGAATTTTGATATTGAAGAAGGCAGTAAGTTATTGATGCCTAAGTCTAAATGTGACTCAAGAGGACCTTGGTTCTCATAGAGTTGTCCTAAATATAATTTTCTCCTACTTCAGTGCACAAGGGACAATAAAAAAATTTTGACTAGCATTACATTTGGCTTATATATCATTGGTAGTCAAAAAATACAACTCCACAGGTCATGAGACATACTTAGCTAATAAGACATGCTACCTTCCATCAAGTAGAATAGTGATAGTTACTAACTTCAGGTTGGAGATTATCCATATTTATGGACTCAGCAGTTTTGAATGTAATACATTTAGAGGTAGAAGAAAACAGTTATCTTAATTAAAGGAAAAAGACACAAAAAAGGAAAAAAGACCACATGTGCATGTAGAAAACTGTCATCTCAAGAATTTCCTGGGAGTATTATTAGCAGGGGCTGTGAATGTTTTATTAGCAGTAAAAAAGCAAACCATGAATCCTATAGAATTTAAAAATGAATTTGGTGATTCTCAAAAGGGGCAAAAAGATGATGAGGTCAATTTTTGAGAAAATCTTTTCTGGGAAAATATGTGTTTTGCAAACAAAATAGAACAGATAGTTTCTTATGCATAATAATTTGCTTTATGTAGCATAATGCTCAGTCCACCAAAGAGCTGGACAATTTAGAAGGGCATATTTTATTTTTCTTCTCAATTTTAGGCAGAAATAAAGATGGAAAATCCCATGTGTTGTTAATCAAATAGGTGATCATCTCTGTTTTTTTCTATATAACCAAGTATGGTCCTGTTCTTCACCCTTAATATTTAAGACCCTGCTTTCCAGTAGCCATCATCAAATGATGCAAAGGGAGGATAAAATGTAAAGTATTTCTAAAATAGTATTATTATACTTAATATACATAATAAATTTCACAGTTATACAAGCAAACATGGTATGCTGCAGAAACTCTAGGAATTTGCAATTTTATCCAACACCCCAGGTGATTACGAAGGCACTGCTTGACTAGATTTTTAGAAATATTTCTCCAGGGCTCATAAATGTTTGTTGACTAAAGGAAAGTGCTCCAAGGTACAAAATGCTCTTTGTCCTTTCATACCTGTGAGTAACTAACTTTATGTTATACATTGTTTCACTATTTGAAAAGTTAAATGATGCTTTAACAAATCAAATGTTGAATTTGGTCTATGGAACTAACTTATCAAAAACATTTAACTGTTTCTTATAGATACTATAAAATTGTTGGGTTTTATGACAGTAGAAATTCTTATCTTTAGTGTTTCTTTGGAGCTCTGATGGTTTACACAATGTTTGCTGCACATCATTTCCCATGGTGATCAAATTTAGACATCAATTTGGATGGGTTATACTACCAAGGTACTTATTTTTAAGACATGTCTTGCATAATTATATATATGCATATATATATATGTATATATATATATATATAAGTTAAACTGATGACAATAAATACTTATAAAACAAAAATACAAAATACTAAATTGAAACTATAGCTCTTTATCTTGAAATAAATTTATGAAGCTAAATTTAGCTTCATAAATGATAGCCACATGTTTATTAAAATATATTTAATTATACAGTTACATGACATCTCTTCTAGACTAATTAATACTTGTTTTTTTAACTTCAAATCAATGCATAGTATTTTTATTTTTAAGATATATCTTTCAAATGCATCATTATGCAAATAAGTAGCTTTATTTAAACTATTTAAATTATACAGTAGGCAAATTGTGACATTTACAAGGGTTAATTTTCTGCTATTTTCCTCTATATTTTAACACATTCTTGGAAAAGGTAATTGCCTATGTACTGTCACCATAAACCTGCCACCTATCCTGTAGTAGGGTGGAATATTCCACCAAATTTAGGTTTAAACACATGTTCTTCTTGGTATTCATTAAAGTATATGCTCAGAATTTTAGTTGTTAAATAATAATGTGAACATTTTGGAGGTTTCTGTCAGTTATTTTGTCTGAAGAAAGCAGATGTAAAAGGGCCTTAGAGCTCATCCAAGTCAATGTCCTTATTTCCAGAGAAGGAAAACTTGAGGACATCAACTTTCTTGTAACAGTCCTCTGGCTATCCTTAGCCTAAATGAGAGAAGAACCACAGATCTTTTGTTCCTTTCACTACTACATGGCATCTATTAAAACTGTCTGTCATAGTTAAATTAGGATTCTTAGTCACTACTAAACTAGATTTACACTAGATTAAAGGATAAAAAAGGACTGAGAAACTGTTCATAAAGTTGTGAGAGCACCATGACTGGATTAACAATATAAGCGTAATAATTTCTCCATACTTAACCAATATAGCATGATCCTAATTCCTCATCTTGCCTCTAAACCTTGCCAAATCCATGTCATTACAACTTGAAAATTGTATTTTGAAATCTCTATTTTCATCGTGTTTCTTGCCTGAGAACCAATACTGTCTCCCTAATGACTTTTCACAGTCCTGATCCATATATGTGGGTGGCAATTTTGTCCTCTATAAAAGGTCCTCATACTGACTATCCAACCTCAGATCTCATTTTGCTATAATGCCAGACTACCATCAGCAAGAAAGTAAGCAGCACTGAGATTCAAAGGGTTTTTACTCACGATGTCCCCTCATGTAGAATTCCAAGACTCATATCTGTACCTGTGTTACTTATACCTTTAAGGATTATTAAGCAATTATACACTTCTTTCTCTTCCAAGAGATATATACTGCTAACTAATTTCCTTTTTCTTGACATTCTAACTTGATATTAAGAACTCCGATGCCAGGATAAGCCTCAAATCTGACATATGCCCCATATCATATAATTCAGAGCACAACTTCCTTTTTTAGGAAAATATCAGTTTTTAGCATACTGAGTTTACTTTAAATATAAATGCAATTTGCTATATTATATCAGAAGCAAGACATCTTTTATCCTTTGTTGGAAAAAGCCTCAATTTATCATCCTAATATTGGACCAAGGGTTATGATTCCTTTTTCCCTGCAGAGTCAGCAATAGATTAAAATGTTAAAATATTGCATAAGACTCATTTTCATCAAAACTTTTTTGAAGTAAACCAAATACCATTCCTTTCCTAACACTAATGATATCAGCTTGAATAAGCAGGCTTTGAGTTCAAGAGGTCAGCCTAAAAGGACAAGAGAAAGACTTTTGTTAATCTTGTTAAAGTATACCTTTGAAAGTTTAGCCAAATTCTCCATGTATTCTGTTGGAAAAGGAACACAAGTAAATTATTCTCCCATGGCAACAGCCAGGAACTCTTTTATCCTTTTATGACTTACAAGCATATATTTACCAACCAACTGCTGCAGCATGCATGAGGCTATACATGAAGATTAATGTCATGAGCTGTGCTTTCAAAGGGTTTATGCCTATTGGATCTCTCTGATTTATTAAAATAAAAAATAATAGGCTCTCTTGCAGAAGAAAATGAAAAGAACTGGCTGTATGAGGACAAAGCAGATAAACAGTCTGCCTGAGTGGGAATCTAACAGGTTTTACAAAGTCAGTGACATTCAACCTAAGTTTAGAATGATGCTGTGGGAGCAAAACTGATGATGCTGGAGAGAAAATACTGTGAGACATGTGTGTAATAAAGTATCTCTTGTGTTCCTGAAATAGCTACCTTAAAATGTGGCTCTTGTAGTTTAAAATTTATGCCAAAACTGGACACTGGTGTGACTCTGTCAACTTGGTATTATGTCTCCAGACACAAGAGAGATGCTACATAGAACCTAAGGATGGACTTGAGGAGAGAGATGTAGTTTAGAGGTGTTGTTGAACAGGACTTGATGATTAACTGTGTGCACAGATGAAGGAGAAGATTTAAGATGGAACTGAAGTTTATACCTTGCCAAACTAAGTGAAAGATGATTTTGAACAGAAATCACTTGCACGATCACCATGGAGCTGACATTACTTGCAGTCAGGAGAAGACTGAGATAACGGTGTCCTGGGCCCAAGTCATGGAGGACTTTGTTAGAGTAAGGACAGCAATAAGAAATGTTTTAAAGGAGATTGTTCCAATAATAAGTATACTTCCTGGAGGTTTTTCTGATATTAGACAGTAATTGTTTTGGTATTTGTTTTCTTCCCTCTAATAGCCTCAAGTAAGGGCCTTTTATTGCAGTAGATTCCTCAAATCCCTCAAGCAACTATTCTCTGTGAATTCAGGTTACTGATAGAATGATGCTTCTCTTGCACACTTAGAGCAGTCTAACCTATGCTCTTGGTACAGGTAAGAGGTCTTCTAGGATAAGACTGTTTGGGGAGAAGAATGTTCAATACTGCCTCTCTTAGAAACCCCAGTGGAGAAATCATTAAACCACACTTCACTCCCATCCTTCACACACTCTAGATTCTGGAGAGGGAGAAGGATGACAAGGAGGGAAAGAAGACAAGGGAA